TTGGGACAACAAGTATTCATCTCGTTTGGAGGGCTTAACAGTGCGTACTTTAGGGTAGCTGCTCCCACGTCATAAGAAAAAAAATATATAAATAATTTAAAATTAAATTACTATTTTATGGATAATAATAATTATATTATACTATTTCATTCCACTTCTAATATTTACATATTACTATTTTGATCCATCTAATTCAAAGATTTACATTTTTTTCTTTAGTAATGGTGGATCCTACATTAACTTCTAATATATATATATATTTTATATATTTATTTACACTACAAAAAAAGTGACTATTTCTAGCGGTATTGAATCCATACAAATAGCCATTTTTTTGTGACAAAAAACTATTTGTGACGATTTTGTTGCGGATTTTGGTCGATACGTTTACTCGAGTAACAAAAATTCTGCATCGTCACAAATGTTATAACAATAGCCAAGTGGTCAATGCCCGTGGGATGACTTTTTGTTACAAATTTTTGTACACGACAAAAACAAAACTTCTTTTTGTAACGACGCATGTCCGTAACAAACGATATGGTAGGGAAGTTTTCTGACAGTTACAACATATTTTCGTATCGATTTTGTTACGGGTACTTGTTCGTGACAAAAATTAAAATTTTATTTGTAACAAAGCGTAGTTGTTACAAAAATGGGTTGTGAATATTCTATGACGTGCACAATAACTTTTAGTAACAGTTTTTGTAACATCTTTTCGTGAAAAAGAATTGATCACATGTCCGTTATAATAACATTTTAATACAACCTAAAAAGACAATTGTAACGATTTTTGTAACAACATCGATGTCGTGACAATTATAAACTTTTTTTTTTTTTCATAATCTCTATAAAAAGTGGAACACCTGTCCGTTATAATAACCCTTTTCCTGCACATGCTAGGAAGCAAACCAAAATTACATACTTATGCACAAAATGATTATCTAGTAAACCGTAGAGACGTCATAGTTCTACGTAATAGTGTTCAATCGATTATCTAAAACATGTAAGGCATCAGTCTAAGTTCAACACATAAACATGGTGAGCCGATGCTCATGCGACGACAAAAAGACGACGGGGGAACTCAGGTGTGAGGAACCAACTGCAATGAATAAGTAGGTTGTATGAGTATTTAATTGCAAAAGATATAAATTACTACATCAAATAAACCTTCAAAGATAAATTATATACATCTTTTTAGGTCCACTCGATAGGCTCGACATTAACTACCTCACCGAGAGTACGTGCTCTAGCAATTGTTGGCAAAATAAGTGTTGTTTTCGATTCATGTCGGGTTCGTATCGGGTCGACTACTTTAAACGAGTTAAATAACTCAACCCTAACCCGATCCGTTTATTATCGTGTCGGGTTCGTGTTGACCCGTTTATAATCGTGTCGGATTCGTGTTGACCCGTATATGTAACTAAGTCGAAATCCTTAATTCAAATTCAATTATTTTTGTCATGTTGTGGTGTTATGTTAGTTTTTGTTATTTATAGTGTAATGTGCACAATGAATTAGATTAAATTATTTAAGATTGAACTTGTATTAAATTAATATGTGGGCTAATTATATAATCATAATTATTTTACATATATAATAAATATATTAATTAATATTAATATATTATAATCAGGTTGTCGTATCAGATTTGAGTTGAGAAACCTAACCCGACCTGTTTATTATCGTATCGGGTTTGTGTCAACCTGTATACGTAATCAGGTTGAAATATTTGACCCAAACCCAATAATTTCATATCGGATTCGTGTCGGATTGTCGTGTCGGGTTAGGTTTTGCCAACTCTACTCACAATAAACACATGAGCTATATTTCAAAGGAAGAAAAAAAAATGAAAAAAAAAACTCAAATCAATAAGCTCCAATTGATTGAGTGAATCATAAGACAATTAGTTCAAACTTTTATAGATCATTCAACTGAGATTATTTTGAATCAAATTTGAATATTTTCCAACATTATATCACACCTAGACATCCTAAGATTTTAATGAAGAAGAATTCATTGTGAAAAAGTAATTAATCTAAAAACCAAACATTATTTTAGCATACGACTACACTTTATGCTCACAATGTAAAGTTTTCAAAAACACATAAGAAATTTGAATCCACCCATGCATAACATCTAACATCTTAGAAATCAGAACTTCAAATCCAAAAACAAATTTAAACTTTAATTAATTAAAGTTTAAATTTAATCCACGCAAGTATTGATATTTTTTTTTTTCAAATACCAAACTAACATGAGAAAAATGACGATAAGAAAATTAATAATTTTTTTCCTTTCTCACTGAATAGGTATAAAAATGATACTAAACTCACCTAGGTCATGTAAAAAATTAATCTTTAAATTTTGTAAAAATGTTAAGAGACAAATAAGGAACATAAAAAATAACAAGAAATATATATTCTTAAACGTCAATAACATACACAATAAAAGGAAAATCAAAATTATCATGAGACCTTCCTAATTAAAATTTCAGAATACCATAATCTTTACAAACCCTTATATGCTCACCAACAAATTAAGTATATCTTGGTAACAAAAAAAATATTTTCCAAGTTTCAATAAATACCATTCTTATTCTTATAATTGGATTAATTCCAATATTTATTAAGGAAACGTAATTTTTGTATATAATTAACTAAATCACAGCACATGCCTATCTTCATTTTAAGTAACAACATTCAATGTAATATTCAAACATCCATGATGCCTCTAGCAATTATTAAACTTTATTTAATTAAAATTTAATTAATTAAGATGGCATAACATCTCATCTTAATAGTTAAATTTTTGCTTATTTGCAATTTACTGAAAAAGGTTCTTACATGTACCAATACATGTCTACGAGATCACATTATAGAAAGCCTCAAATATAAATTGTGACTAGATTCAAAGCACAGAATCAAACTCAAACATATGAAATAAATATAGTTGTTAACTATAATCAAAATCATAAAATATAATACTTCAATGCACACTTTTAATGGTTCAAATTATTGGTAGAAAGCTAAATTAAACCAACAGGAGACACCAAAGTATATAATCCTTTAGTTGAAATGACTCAAATTTACACTACAAATGTTTGAAATAAATCCAAAGTTTCAATATTTTCAACCGTTAAAGACGCTTGCTCTCTTATTTGGTTGGTTCAATCATTCCATCAATTACAGGTAAAATATAAATCTAAGAAAATACGTGAATTTTTAAAGTATAATAAGAATACAAAATTTACCATCAGTGTGTTGAGTCCATCAATTATTTATCTTATTTAACTAAACCACCCCACCAAAATAACTAAATTAGTATTCTTAAATTGTGGTGTCTTTATTAAACCATTTGACAACCATTGAAATAGTAATTTGTAAATTCAATTATATAACAAATATCACTGTAACCTTACCTAGGCTATTAAGATTTGCATAGATTTTTCCAACATAAAAAAACAAGTCCGACCAACAACCCCAACATTGCCGATGACGGCTCAATAAGCAAAAGTCAAAACAAAAATATGGAATAGAAATAAGTACAAATGAAAGTTCTCCGTGCAAATTCAATAATCCGTTTCTACAACATCAAAATTTAAAAACTATTGAGAAAATCCAAACAATTTTCATGGTCAGTGGCAAAGCAAAAGTTAACCTTAAATTCATACAAAAGTTTACAAATTAATTATTTTCTACTCCCATTGTCTTTTTCCCCAACCAAGCAAGAACACAAATTGAACACTAAATTTGGATTCCAAACCCAGGCCTTGCAGACGGACAACACTAGAAACAGTGGTTCAAGGAAAGCTTCAGGCAATTGGTCCAAATTTGTATACCCATTAAAAATATGAAATAATGTCTATGAAGATTATTAAAAATTCCAGAGTTCTAAATAACTTAAAAATTTTAATTTTCATAACTACGCAATAACATACCTAGTTTTAACTTACCGTTCGATAAAGCCATAAAGTGAGAACAACAGCGCGGCTAGAAAGAAATAAAATATTTTTATTAATGTGGAAATGTGAAAGAAATTTTGATGTTTTTGTCATTTGACTTTAATTTTTGTATAACGTAATTGTATGCTTAATTTAAATAAGAGTTAGAGTATTTTGGTATTTATGTACAACTACTTTTACTAAGAAATAAAAAAAAATTATTTTTGAATGACACAAAAATAAACAAAAAAATATTTTGAATTAAGATAGAGAAAGTATATTATTATTAAAACATAATTTATTATGTATAATTTAAATATAGAATTACATAATCATCCATGCCTAGCACTTGTCTCGGTTAGTTTACATAATAATTAACATTTTAAATTCAAAGTCACTTATATGATTAATAAAATTGTAATTATATTAAACAAGGATTATAATTAAATTAATAGATATTAAATTAAATATTTTACAAAAATATTCATGAAAATAATTAATACAAAAATAATATATTTAAAGTTATAATTGTTAAAAATAAAATTTTGTGCAACAAAATATAAATATCTTTTATAAATATTAATATTAATATATATATTTCTATCTATATTAAAAAAACGAATTAGCTGAGCCCACAAAGAACCGCTCCTTCATCAAATTTTATTTTTTCCTCGGTTAGATTTTATTTTATATTTTTAAAAAATTGGTGACGTAGGGATACTTCCCATGTTGTGGGTGCCCTTACGGACCACATTTTATTCTAAATGCTTTTTGATTTGAGTGGATGGAAATTTATTGTTGGCTGGATATAAACAACGACACCGACATCAATGATAATAAGTGGTACGAGAAGGTCATTCTCTTGCTCATTTCACTCTTGTTTCTCACAGATAATTTGTCTTATTCTAACTCGCAAGTTATTAAACTTTGTCTAGATTTTACTTAGAACGCATCCGAAATATAATGACTGCGAATTCCAACATTATACAAAATAATAATAATTTAAAAAATAAATAAGTACAGTTCCATCCAAAAAAAAAAAAAAAAACATTACAAATCATAAACACTAAACAAATCAACCATAAAAATTTATACAATACATAATTCACGCGCACCATTCAATAAATTTTTAATGAAACCAATATTCGAACTTATTATAGCTAGCGTTCAACATTGCTGAACGCAATCTTAGGATAAATTCAATACCATCAAAATCTAAATCCAAATCCAAAAGTCTAGATAAGAAATTGCAATTTTTGAATTGCAAGTTTTCAATATCTTCGTTCCCAAATTTAGCCATTGCCGGAGCTCCGGCAAAGACCTAGTAATCCGACATGCTCCGCCATCGGTCGAAGAAGAAGATCATCGAATCGACCTACATCGAAAAGGGCTCGGCATCTACTCTTGGAGTATTTCCGAGCGTCATGTCGAAAATCATCTCTGCCGACCCCAAAGCCTGGAAGAAACCAGTCAAGCAAACAACACAGAGTTATCGGAAACTAAATCACCGAGTAAGGTCGGGAGAGGTTTACCAATGTCAGCCCTTCGCCTTCATGTCCGGCAACGACGAACATCTTCGGAAATCCAGGCACCGGCCCGATCTTCGGAGCTCCACCAGGCACTGGAAATGTTACAAAGGCGCGGCAATTCAGAAGAAAACAACAACGAATTCAGCAGCCGTTACGGTAAACTCATTTGGTGCAGACTTACTGTAAGGTCTCAGTCCAACTCTCACTTTCCTATTGTCGATCATATCTTGAAGCGAAACTTCCTTAAGTGCAGGGAAAAAATCGCCTGCTCGATCCCAGATACGTTGAACGATAGTTTCATCAACCTCAGTATCGAACCCGACAAGCTGCCGGCTGCTTCCTGCAGAGAAAAGCACAGCAGATGAGTTCCAGCAGAGAATCGATACAGAAGAATAAGAGCATCGAAAATGTACCAAGAACAAGCCTTCCCATCGGGTCCAAAGTAGCCGTCATTGAAATAGATGTAGCATCCGAATCGGAAGCAGCAGAGACCCCGGCTGCAGATGCATGGTTGAGATATCCCGATTCCATTAGGGCGTGGTTAAGCTCGACTGTGTTGTCGTTGTCGAGAACAAGAAGATGACCCTGCCACATAAACGGTAGCATTAGAAAGGTATTCTTCTTGAAGAACATTTCGATGCCTTCATGTCAGCAAAAACATCGGAAGGTCATAACACAAAGCGAATTCAAACTCCAACCAAGTTAACAACAAAGAAGGCAAATCGATTTCACACCTTTCTCGGCTTTACTGGGAAATCCAAATCGATTTCAGAATCCTTTAGAAGCTGATCCATGACAGAACCCGTCCAACAGCCGGTTGCAATGATCACAGCTTTCTTACCACGAATCATATTCTTCTTCGTTTGAACAGCCACAACTTCTCCGCTGCTCTCGTCCCTAACCACGAGCAGAATCAACAGACATTGCATTAATATGACCAAAATTTCCAAGACCCGTATAAAAAAACAAAATCATTTCAAAAACAAATGCGACGCAGCAGCAAGATTGAAAGCCAAATGAATCGTCGTTTACAACTTCAGCCAGGGGCAGCGCTGTACGACGTGATAAATCTTCCCTAACCTTAATAAACTGGTAACTGGTTCATAATAGAACTCAACATATCTCCCTTCTGCTGCGAATTTCCTGTTACCCTATCAAGCAGTAATCCCATAATTACGTAAAAGAAAGAATTAGTGAAAAAATGCTCAAATATTTCCAAGTAACGCATAGGGAGGGAGATAATCAAACCTTCTCTATATATGCAACAGTGCGCTTTGCATCTATTTGAAAGTCACCGGGGACAAAAGCAGCGCCGTGTGCATCTCCAAGCTTAAGAGCAGGTTCTTCGGCTAGCAAATCATCACGATTTAAATAAACTGCACTCACACCGAAATCTACTAGCTTATCTACCGACTTCTTCAAATCAGCACAATCCTCTGAAGTTTTACCAACCAACAAGCTTCCTGTTAAAAGGTGATACGAATTTTAGTTACAATCCCAAGTTTTTGACTATTGGTATCTACCATTTGTAGTAAAGATGTAAAACACTTGGGGGTGTTCTCATAGAGCTTGCAGAATTATGTTATCCCTGTTTATCGAATTTGTCCTGAACAAGTGGTATCGTAGAAGTCACAAATAGAGAATTCAACGAAGAAACTTCCTAATGAAAGGTATCAGCCAATGTTATGCAACACCTTTGGCATGTCAGAGATCCTGTAAGATTCATAAACAAAGTGGAAGCATACGAACCAGCAAGTTAAGCATGAATTTTAGTGAATTAAATCTCCGAATGAATCGTCGATGAATCTGATTTGTATCACAGTTCCATTAGCTTATTTGAAACAGTGCAAGAATCGATTGAAGAATTTGGGGAAATCGAAATCGTTTATTACCAGTTTTCTTCCACCCAAGCGTCTGAAGTGGATCCAAACCTTCGTTCCGGACGCTTTCAGCCAGAGCTTCCCACAATCCATGGCTTCTAACCGCCAGCTCCCATTTATGGCTTCCCGGCGATTTGTTAACCCGCCATATGTAACCCTGACCTGAAAATCAGAAACCTAACTCAAATCCAGAACATCGAACGGATCGCAAAAAATCAAATCCACCCTACGACTGAAATGAATCTTTTTTTCAGTCTCTGCTTTGCTTCCAAGAGCTTGATTAATTATCATTAAATAGAAAAAAATAAAAATAAAAATAAAAATAGTGCAGGTAGGAGGAGGTCGATTCGCCTTATTACCTGCACCAGTGGCGCCGGCGCAGGGAACGGCAGCGTCGACGAGGGCGACGGAGAGATTTGAACCGAGTAGGAATTGGCGGGCGATGGTTAACCCAATTATTCCAGCCCCGACAACCACCACATCGAAGGTGTGCAAATCCGACCCAGAGGCCCGACCCGATTGAGCGGGTTCGAATATTTCCGTACTGATTTCCCGATAGCTACTACAAATACGTCCCGAGAAATTTGGGCTACGAGTACAGGCACTTCTGGCGGCCGCCGCCGCCGCCGCGATTCCGCCACAGCCGGAAAAGTAGGCGCGTCGAAGAGGCTGCACGCGGCGGGAGCATTGGTTGAAAGCCATGTTCAGAACGGTAGCCGCCATTGGAAGAAGAGACGTGAGTGAGCCAACAAGCAAGCGGAATGAGTGAAGGAAGAAGGTTTGAAGATTTTATAGAATACCGATCGATCCTAGAGGCCCGACGCCATTGCCTTCTTTAATCCAGTGGCAGTAATATTAACTTACCATTTATTTATTTAATTAATATTTATTAAATTAATTATGCGCAGGACACGGCCGTGTTTCGACCAACACAGGCGTGTTCTGCCCCATTGAAGTTTTGAACCGCCATTTCTGAGGGGTTTGCTTTTTCCGCCATTTTTGAGGTTAGGGTTACCTTGTTCGAAGAGCCATGGAATTCAGCTGTAACTGCCATGGCTAATAAGAGGTCTGTACCCACAAGAAAAGCAGTACAGCCCAACGTATACTTTGTCCAGCAAAATATTCTGTCCCCCCATAAGCCCTCTCTCTCTGCCTATGGAGTTTTGGTATCAACAATACGGAATGATGCTCGAAAAGCAGAGAAAAAGCACAATGGAGTGAGAAAGAGGAATCCTCCATGACTACATTGGGCAGGTTCAGTTATCAACTGAACCCATCATATGAGCCTCCCTTTTTGAACAATTCTCTAAACCTCCATTATTTCTTCATCTCTCTCCCCTCTTTCTTGTCTCTGTGCATACTGTAGAGTGAGAGAGAGAGAGAGAGAGAGAGAGAGAGAGAGAGAGAGGGTATGAGATTCGTCTGACAGATTTTGCACTGGGCGAAGGGGAGAGAGGAGCAGAGTCTGTTAGGGTTGTCGTCTACACTCACTCTACTCTCTCTACCTTTCACCACTATTTATATATATATATATATAGACAGAGAGAGAGAGAGAGGAGTAAGAATTGCAGCAATAGCTTCACCAAAAACTTGGCAGCTATGGAGGCAGCAGCAATGGAGTGCTTGAGGCCTTTTGTCAACGCCAAGCCATGGGAGTATATCGTGGTTTGGATTTTAGGGGACGATCCTTCAAGGCGATTTCCTTTTATTCTTTTTCCTCAAAATTCCTTCTTGATTCTTCTTTCTTCTTCCTCTCAACTTTTTGTTTTTTTCTCAGGTTTATACAGTGGGGGGCTTGCTGTTGCAGCGGCGCAAACAGGGTGGAGAAGGATGAAAATGGAGGGGTGAAGGAGGAGTGCTGTTGCAGGGATCAGATTGTGAAGCATTCCATCCAAACCAAGGCTTGCAGGAGACTTGCTCTGTTGCCGTCAGTCATTCCGCTCTACTCTGGGTAAATTATTTCATTAATTCTCCATTTTCGGAGCGATTAATGTTTGAGGATCCATAAAAGCTGTTGTAATGATGAGAAAAAAGTTAAAATTTTATGCAGAATCCACGGCGATGTTGCTACATCCAAACAGCCAGTTTGGACGACGGCCTCTTCTTCAGACAACGTATTCTCAAAAACTCTGCTTTGTGTTTTTTTTTTTTATAAAAAAAATAACAATAAATTTACATCTCCATTGTTGCAGGAGCCAAAGGGGACTCAAGTTGTAATCCCTGTAGACGGCGGACTGGTCGAATTCTTCAGCTCAAAGCATGTAAGATGGTTGTGAAAGGACAATAATAGTGAAGTTTTGAATTGAAAAGTATTCGATTTGATTTGATTTGAATCTTGGACTGGTTTGCTTGTTGTCTGCAGGTGGCGAGGGATCAGAAGATGATAGACTATGTATCGGCCCGATTCGGACAAGAAACCGTTATGGATAAGCCGAAAGCCATGGCCATGAATCTCAACCAGCTCGGAGATCACCTCTTGGAACCCGATTCCTATGATTGGCAAATCCATTGCCTCAACTTCCTCCCCCAGCTCGAAGCCTCGTCGTTGAGCTCAAACCTCTCGACCAGACACCGCCAATTAATGCCCTCCGATCACGCGAGCTGTCCGAAGCCCAAGAGGAAGAAGTGCACAGATTCTGTATCCGTCATCGGCGCAGTGAAAAACCGGGAAAGAGGGCCTTACAAGTCGAAGAATCTTGTCACGGAGAGGAACCGGAGGGAGAGGATCAAGGCCGGCATGTTCGCCCTCCGCGCATTAGTCCCGAAGATATCCAAGGTTGTCTGAAAAATATCTCGTCTTTCTTCACCCACCGTAGTAACGACTTACTTATCTCTCGATTGCTGCAGATGGACAGGGTGGCGACGCTGGGAGACGCCGCCGAGTACATCGAGGAGCTATTGGAGAGCATCGAGGATTACAAAAGCCAAATTCAAGCCATGGAAGACGAAGACAAATGCGGCGAAGTGATCAACGCGGAGCCCGATTGCCCCCTCCTCAAGAACGCCGTTGCGGAGGAGAGGCTGCCGCCGCCAATTCCAACGCCACCGGTCGGGACAAGACTACACTACCTGTTCTACGATTCTTTTTTTTTTAGTGATTTACTTTACAATTTTTGAGTCGTTTATAAAATATTTTTTCAGGTGCAGGCGGAAGTTAGCCGTCTGGGGGCAAAGGATTTTGCCGTGAAGGTGGCGTGTGCGCATAGGAGAGGCGGGTTTTCGCGGCTGATGGAGGCGCTCGACGCCTTGGGGCTACAAGTGGTCGACGCCAATGTCACCACGCTCAACGGCTCCATGTCGTCGATTGTTCTTAGAGTTCAAGTACGATGAAACAAAGACATGCTCTGTCTGTCTGATGCTATTTGTCAATAAAAATAGACTATTTTTGAATTGAATTGAAATAAATTTGTGGTGTTGTTGAAGGGAGGCAATGAGGAGGTGGATCCTAAGAGCTTGGAGTGTTTGTTGATCCAACTGGTTGCTTAAGAAGATCTTCCATTGGTGATTTTTCATATTTGTTGTTATTATTATTATTAGGTGATTTGTTTGTTGTGTATTTTTGTGTTGTATGTTTTGTTAATAGACTAAATCTGTCCTTGGAGTGGAGTGGGCACTGGAATCTGAGAGTATATTCTTGTAGAGTGAAGTGGGCACTGGAATGGAATCTGAGAGTATATTCTTGTATGTTTGATACATCATTATTGTGTTTGTTTGTTTGCTTGCTTGTTGACAAGTCCGTCTGCTTGATATTTATTATCTGTAAATTATTAACCGCTTACTCTTTAGTGGTTGGGACAGAGCATATGGTGCTGCGATGAGAGCCAAGTGATTTGTTTTTATATGTTCTTTCAGTCCACTCTCTCAGGGGTCATTGTAGACTTCTTTTGGCTCCGAATATGTATATGTTTAAGAGATCTTTTCGTCTCCAATCAGATGATTCATTTGCTTAAGGACTCGCTAGATGATTCATTTGCTCAAGGACTCTGTTATTTTATATAGCTTAAATTAACAAGTTATTGATAATAAATTAACGGTATTATTTTATTATATGAACAATATAGTTAATATTTTAAATATTTTTAGTATTGAATCTATCTGGATTTGGTCCTCGGCTGACAAAACAAAAGGAGATGTGCCAAGGTGCAAACGAGCTATATCTTCCGAGCCAAGTGGAGCATGCATGAAGTAGTCCGATGCTTCTTTTTTTTCTGGAGCGGCTAGGCCATCCTAGACTTGAACCAGAGTGTCCTTCGCTTTACTTCTTGGGTTTCAAGTTCGCCTACGAGAGAAAAAAAAAAAAAAAAAGTCCAGCTTAAAGAAAAAATAAACTCTTATTTATATAAAATATATGTAATATAAATATTATTTTTAAATAATAATTTATTATATAATACAAATAAATAAAATTATATTTATTTATTTATAATTAATTTAAAACTAATTTCTATAGAAAATGACTGAGTTTTACATATAGATAAAAATATTTTTTTTATTAAAAAGAGATAATAATAATGAGGTTTTGAGTGTCAAGGGTAAGATGTAAAAAATTTAATTAAATTATTTTATATTTTTTATGTATATTTAATATGAATAAATTTATTAAAAATAGAAAAATATCATGCTTTATAGGACAAACAAAAAAGTAAAATTAGTTATTTGTGATAAAATGGAGATGTAAAAGTATATTGTAGAGGATTAATCAATATATATCATACAAACAAACAAGTATAATTTTAGTTAACACAACATGTATATCTTGTTAGTAGTGTTAACTGATGTTATGTACTATAAGTTCACATTTTATGGATGTATATCTTGTTAGTAGTGTTAATTGATGTTATGTACTGTAAGTTTACATTTTATGAATGTATATTTTGTTAGTAGTGTTAACTGATGTTATGTACTGTAAGTTTACATTTTATGGATGTATATCTTGTTAGTCGTGTATACCTTCTACAATTGTTCTCAACGCTCTTCATGCTTTGGAAGCGATTAATTACAACTTTATTCTGACATTAACAAGCGTTTCCTTCTCTGTAGCACAAATTAACGAATCATTCAAAACATCATCACCCATCCGATTGTGCAAATTTGACTACACAAGTTTCATAGCAGAAAAATATATTTCAATTGTTGTTGTTGCGATTGATAAAACCAAAGTTAGCTTTAATAATCGAAAGACATAATGACAAGAAATGTGCTTTCCTGTTTGCACCACCAATCTAGCAAGGTTACTGATACCATCTAAGTTAGTAAATCTTTCATCTTGAAGCATAGTCTATAGTAGATGTCAAGATCACCCTCCAATGAATTTTCTTCCATATTATTAAAATCATATGGATAGAATGCACTTAACTTCACTAACTTTGATGCATCAAACATAGAAAATGAATCTAGCGGACTTAAAGCAACCATATTAAAAAGCAACTTAGTACTAACCTTAGTAAATCGATCACCAAAGTCTTGAATTTGCATATCCAAAACAATGATGAAAATGTCTACTTCAAAATAGTGCCGATTGGAGATGGTGTTTTTCGATTTCTTGAAGTAACATAACAATTCTCCATATTTAAGCTTTCATACTATACTTTTGACAAAATGAATACACTATCTCCAAAAGTATACCAAACCTATTTTTTCTAAACTTTTGCAATGATTTTTTTGTTCCTTCAATCAATGAGACTGCTTCTATAATATCTTGATCTTATCTTTGAAGAGCTCGTGACAACACATTCGTAAACCCTAAAATATGCAACATTAGGCGCAAATAGAATTCAAAATTAAATTACTGAAAATATTCTAGAAGATCAAGCTGATGCCGGCTCAAACTATTATCATCATCCTCTTTAATATATTTAAGCACTACAACAACTTTCGGGAAACAAAAAAATCAAACCTTGTAGTATTTTGTGGTGAGAACCTCAATGTGTATCTCTTGCACGAATAAAAGAGAATTCTTGATTAAATCCTCTTTCCGTTTCAATTTCACTTTTACAAATAACTTATTGTATTATATCTTTGTAGCCTTCTAGAATAATATCTTTCTGTTTGCAAGAAGCACAAACAACATTCATCATTGTTGCAAGCATGTCAGAAAAGTTTTTAACATCATTGTGATTTTTTTGCAACAACAACAATTACTAACTGAATTAAGGGGCAGACCTACATGGGGCCGCTGACCTCACCTCCCAAAATATATATATATTTTGGTGTAGAAAATAATAAAATTATGTATTTTATAGTAATATGCTTCTCCTATTTTTTTATTTTTTTTATAATGTAAAAAATAATAAAAATTTTGTCCGTTTGTTGATTTACACTTTTAGCCTTTATATTTTACTTTTTTATAGTAAAAAAATATTAAATTTTATGTAGTTTTGTTGAATTTTTTTTTAAAACATTTAAATTTTCCCAATTTTTGTTTGCCCGGGTGTGTTATGAATTAAAAAAAAATAACATTGAATTGATAAAAAGAAAATCGATATTTTTACCCTCCCAAGCTTTTACTGCTGGTTCTGTCACTGACTGAATTTGGTCAGCAAAACAATGCACATAATATAAAGAGTTGTTATCCTTCAAGATTAAAACTTTCAAACCACTAAACTCAAATTGCATGTTGTTTGCTCCATTATAACCTTGATGCCTTATATGTTTTAGTTAAAGTTGAAGATAGTAAATATACATTCAAGTATAAAAATATATGTATTTAAGAATTTTAATTATGAAAAGCTTACCTATTAAAACTCAATCCATGCTTAAAAAATAGGAAATCTATGGCAGATTTAAAAGTTCATGACGATGTATCCATCACATGAACTACACCAATAAATCTTTCCTTAACAAGTCTATGTGTATCTACGTATCTCAAAACCACGACCATTTGTTCTTTTTTTGATACATCAATAGACTCATCAACTAAAAATGCAAATACATCATTACCAATCTCTTCAAAAATGGACTTTAATATTTCATTCGCAAAACGATTCACAATATCCTTCTGAATAGATGTAGACACCATTTGATTATTCTTTGAAGCATTTCTTAATATAATATTGTGAATGGACTCATTTGCACTTCCAAGTAATGATAATGCTTTCAAAAAAAGACCTCTATAGTAAGTTTTTCGACTTATCATGACCACATAGTGATATTGCATTTTTCACTAAAAATCTGCAAACATCAATCGAAGCATTTGATCTAATTCGGTATTCTTTCTTCGCAGTTTCACTTTGCTTATGACATGCAACAACAATTGACTAATTCTATTTCATTAGATTTTTATATTTTTGTTGTGCTTTATTGCAAAAACTAGAAATATCACCTACGTGAATACTGAATCAATCATTCTTGCTCCAACTATCAAATCCCTTCGTCACAAAAGCATCACTCCCACCTTAATTTCCAACATAATCTCTAATGAAATAACAATATAAACAAAAATTTTGTCTTCTTTCACACTATACTCCAACCAACAAAACTCATTAAACCATTTGAGGACAAAACGATGTACTTTACTTCCGACTCTTTTTGTTGGAAACACATAATCGTGTGGATGAAAAAAGATCCTCTTTGCTAATACAGTCGCCTTATTTCATCTGTTTGATTTGCGTCATACTTCAAAATTCTTGGCCTATCAACCGAATCCCACGAAAGATCTGTTAATTCAATTATCTTTGATGGTGTTGATAGATAACATTTCGGTTGAAAAAAATTGTCGGAACTACTTCCACTTGAACCATCACAAGATACCTTTCTTTTTAAAAGTTTCTCCATAGAAAATAAATCTACATTTATAGATGTAAAAAAAAAACATTAGAAAATTATCAAAAATCATAATATAATTCAAATTTTAAAATTTTGTTCTAATTTAATCATAAATAATGTAAAATCTTCTAATAAAAAATGTAAAACCAAAAGTAATACAATAATAAAATTAAAATAATATAAAAATTTGAATCGAATTAGAAAAAGAACAGATAAATTATGCATTGAATCAAAATATATATAAAAAGTACAATAATTTCACCTCACTTGGATGTGAGTTTCACGGACAGATCTTTAAAGAAATTTGGATTGAACTGAAGAAAAAAGAAGAAGCTGCAATAACAGACGAGCGCAAGGCGGCTCAGCGGTGGCTGATGACTCCAAATATGAGCATATTCTTAGTTTGACAAAACTGTGTATTACTCGAATTTCTGTATAAAAACCATCATAATAACCCGTTAATGGTATACATTATTGATCTATATCGCTTGGCATGATCCATATTCCGTTGTTGAGATTATTAACGATTTTTTGCCCTTTTTAAGCGGTAGTCTGGTGCCAGAAAAGCTAAGGCATGTGCCACAAGCGTTAGCCTCCTCCGCTCGCATGCGCCCAGAATATCTACTGAAAAAGACTAAGGCACGAGAGGCAAGCGGTAGCTTCCATCGCTCACAAGCGATAGCCCCTCCCGCTTGCAAGCGACAGCCCAGACACCCACCGCTGCAGAATGTCACCAGATTTCGACTAAGTATTCCAACTGCAGCGGTTCAGCCATCTCATTTCCAGCCAGCACAAGCGAGTTTAGCTGCGCTGATGCCCTCCAACTCTCCGGCAAGCGAGGAAGATCTGAGCCTTTACAATTCAATGCAAGCGAAGCGGGCACCCTGGAAGTTATGACCAGCAACTACTTCAACAGAATAACTACCAGCAACCGCCTAACTGCC